ATTTATCTTATATATACTTCCAAGGTAGTGTTCATTTTTCTTATATATACCTCCAAGGTAGCGTTCATTTATCTGATATATATACTTCCTTGGCAGTGTCCATATATCTTATACATACTTTCATGGCAGTATTTATCCTATACATACTTTCATGGCAGTGTTCATTTATCCTATACATACTTCCATGGCAGTGTTCATTTATCTTATATATACTTCCATGGTAGTGCTTATTTATCTTATATATACCTCCAAGGTAGCGTTCATTTATATTATATATACTTCCATGGCAGTGTTCATTTATCCTATATATACTTCCATGGCAGTGTTCATTTATCTTATATAAACCTCAAAGGTAGCGTTCATTTATCTTATATATACTTCCATGGCAGTGTTCATTTATCCTATATATACTTGCATGGCAGTGTTCATTTATCTTATATATACTTGCATGGTAGTGTTCATTTATCTTATATATACTTCCATGGCAGTGTTCATTGATCTTACATATACTTGCATGGTAGTGTTTATTTATCCTATATATACTTCCATGGCAGTGTTCATTTATCTTATATAAACCTCCAAGGTAGCGTTCATTTATCTTATATATACTTCCATGGCAGTGTTCATTTATCCTATATATACTTGCATGGCAGTGTTCATTTATCTTATATATACTTCCATGGCAGTGTTCATTTATCTTATATATACTTCAATGGCAGTGTTCATTGATCTTATATATACTTCCATGGCAGTGTTCATTTATCCTATATATATACTTGCATGGCAGTGTTTATTTATCATATACATACTTCCATGGCAGTGTCCATATGTCTCATACATATTTCCACGGCATTGTTCATCTCGTACATATCTTCCATGGCAGTGTTCATATATCTTATATATACTTCCATGGTAGTGTTCATTTATCTTATACATACTTCCATGGCAGTGTCCATTTATCTTATATATACTTCCATGGTAGCGTTCATTTATCTTATATATACTTCCATGGTAGTGTTCATTTATCTTATACATACTTCCATGGCAGTGTCCATGTATCTTATATATACTTCCATGGCAGTGTTTCTCTCTCTTACATTCGCTTCCATGACCATAAATCTTGGTATGACTTTCGCCATCGATGATCTTAAGGTTAAGTATGACTTGCGCCATCGATGACCATAAGAATGAGTTGTGTCATCGATGTAGCGTTAATACCGCTTTGTGTAACGGACCGTTAGCTTCAGTATATACAATTCGTGTTTGCCGATATATCAGAAAATCAAGAATTACCGACATATTATTTTGTCTAACCATGTAACCAGGTCTCCAGCTCTCCTGCAGGGTCATGTTTTCGTCCCGGGTCGCGAGCCCAAGCATAGACCCTTTGTCCTTTTGATCCAGCTGGTTTAAGCAGCGGTCCTCCAGACATGTTGCCATTTAGTCCCTGTAATAAGTAATTATACACATATTCAGTGCCGCCAATTCAATTGCTGTAATCTACCAATGATAATATCAAAGTTGTAGTTACAGATTAGTCTGCTAAGTCGGTCGTTTATTACTATCGTGTCACATATCTGGTCCGATAATGATCGTATGTACAGAAGAGCCAGTAGTGGGGGTCCTGTGACTACAGTGCACTCTATCAGAGGTATAGATCGCTACTGCAGAGTAGTATACAGGCTAAGACAATATATGTTGCCAGTGAATCAAATCAACGACACAGCACTAGGTGTGAGTCGAGAAGGGAGTGACACAAGTAGACACAATTTATGGATAACAACTTCTGCTTGACAACGGAATGTGATGGTGATGATGGGTGGGTAGATGTGATGGTGGTGATGGGTGGGTAGATGTGATTGTGGTGGTGGGTGGGGTGGGGTAGATGTGATGGTGGTGGTGGGTGGGTAGATGTGATGGTTGTGATCGGTGGGTACATGTGATGGTGGTGGTGGTGGGTGGGGTAGATGTGATGGTGGTGATCGGTGGGTACATGTGATGGTGGTGGTGGGTGGGTAGATGTGATGGTGGTGGTGGGTGGGTGGGGTAGATGTGATGGTGGTGATCGGTGGGTACATGTGATGGTGGTGGTGGGTGGGTAGATGTGATGGTGGTGGTGGGTGGGTGGGGTAGATGTGATGGTGGTGGTGGGTGGGTGGGGTAGATGTGATGGTGGTGATCGGTGGGTAGATGTGATGGTGGTGATCGGTGGGTAGATGTGATGGTGGTGATCGGTGGGTACATGTGATGGTGGTGGTGGTGGGTGGGTAGATGTGATGGTGGTGGTGGTGGGTGGGGTAGATGTGATGGTGGTGGTGGGTGGGTGGGGTAGATGTGATGGTGGTGGTGGGTGGGTGGGGTAGATGTGATGGTGGTGATCGGTGGGTAGATGTGATGGTGGTGATCGGTGGGTACATGTGATGGTGGTGGTGGTGGGTGGGGTAGATGTGATGGTGGTGGTGGTGGGTGGGGTAGATGTGATGGTGGTGGTGGGTGGGTGGGGTAGATGTGATGGTGGTGGTGGGTGGGTGGGGCAGATGTGATGGTGGTGATCGGTGGGTAGATGTGATGGTGGTGATCGGTGGGTACATGTGATGGTGGTGGTGGTGGGTGGGGTAGATGTGATGGTGGTGGTGGTGGGTGGGGTAGATGTGATTGTGGTGGTGGGTGGGGTGGGGTAGATGTGATGGTGGTGGTGGGTGGGTGGGGTAGATGTGATGGTGATGGTGGGTGGGTGGGGTAGATGTGATGGTGATGGTGGGTGGGTGGGGTACATGTGATGGTGGTGGTGGTGGGTGGGGTAGATGTGATTGGGTGGTGGGTGGGGTGGGGTAGATGTGATGGTGGTGGTGGGTGGGTGGGGTAGATGTGATGGTGATGGTGGGTGGGTGGGGTAGATGTGATGGTGATGGTGGGTGGGTGGGGTAGATGTGATGGTGGTGGTGGGTGGGTGGGGTAGATGTGATGGTGGTGGTGGTGGTGGGTGGGGTAGATGTGATGGTGGTGGTGGTGGGTGGGTAGATGTGGTGGTGGTGGGTGGGGTAGATGTGATGGTGGTGGTGGTGGGTGGGGTAGATGTGATGGTGGTGGTGGGTGGGTGGGGTAGATGTGATGGTGATGGTGGGTGGGTGGGGTAGATGTGATGGTGATGGTGGGTGGGTGGGGTACATGTGATGGTGGTGGTGGTGGGTGGGGTAGATGTGATTGTGGTGGTGGGTGGGGTGGGGTAGATGTGATGGTGGTGGTGGGTGGGTAGATGTGATGGTGGTGGTGGTGGGTACATGTGATGGTGGTGGTGGTGGGTACATGTGATGGTGGTGATCGGTGGGTAGATGTGATGGTGGTGGTGGTGGGTGGGGTAGATGTGATGGTGGTGGTGGGTGGGTGGGGTAGATGTGATGGTGGTGGTGGTTGGGTGGGGTAGATGTGATGGTGGTGATCGGTGGGTAGATGTGATGGTGGTGATCGGTGGGTACATGTGATGGTGATGGTGGTGGGTGGGGTAGATGTGATGGTGGTGGTGGTGGGTGGGGTAGATGTGATGGTGGTGGTGGGTGGGTGGGGTAGATGTGATGGTGGTGGTGGGTGGGTGGGGTAGATGTGATGGTGGTGATCGGTGGGTAGATGTGATGGTGGTGATCGGTGGGTACATGTGATGGTGGTGGTGGTGGGTGGGGTAGATGTGATGGTGGTGGTGGTGGGTGGGGTAGATGTGATTGTGGTGGTGGGTGGGGTGGGGTAGATGTGATGGTGGTGGTGGGTGGGTGGGGTAGATGTGATGGTGATGGTGGGTGGGTGGGGTAGATGTGATGGTGATGGTGGGTGGGTGGGGTAGATGTGATTGGGTGGTGGGTGGGGTGGGGTAGATGTGATGGTGGTGGTGGGTGGGTGGGGTAGATGTGATGGTGATGGTGGGTGGGTGGGGTAGATGTGATGGTGATGGTGGGTGGGTGGGGTAGATGTGATTGGGTGGTGGGTGGGGTGGGGTAGATGTGATGGTGGTGGTGGGTGGGTGGGGTAGATGTGATGGTGATGGTGGGTGGGTGGGGTAGATGTGATGGTGATGGTGGGTGGGTGGGGTAGATGTGATGGTGGTGGTGGGTGGGTGGGGTAGATGTGATGGTGGTGGTGGTGGGTGGGTAGATGTGATGGTGGTGGTGGGTGGGTGGGGTAGATGTGATGGTGGTGGTGGTGGGTGGGGTAGATGTGATGGTGATGGTGGGTGGGTGGGGTAGATGTGATGGTGATGGTGGGTGGGTGGGGTAGATGTGATGGTGGTGGTGGGTGGGTGGGGTAGATGTGATTGTGGTGGTGGGTGGGTGGGTAGATGTGATGGTGGTGGTGGTGGGTGGGGTAGATGTGATGGTGGTGGTGGTGGGTGGGTAGATGTGGTGGTGGTGGGTGGGGTAGATGTGATGGTGGTGGTGGTGGGTGGGGTAGATGTGATGGTGGTGGTGGGTGGGTGGGGTAGATGTGATGGTGATGGTGGGTGGGTGGGGTAGATGTGATGGTGATGGTGGGTGGGTGGGGTACATGTGATGGTGGTGGTGGTGGGTGGGGTAGATGTGATTGTGGTGGTGGGTGGGGTGGGGTAGATGTGATGGTGGTGGTGGGTGGGTAGATGTGATGGTGGTGGTGGTGGGTAGATGTGATGGTGGTGATCGGTGGGTAGATGTGATGGTGGTGGTGGTGGGTGGGGTAGATGTGATGGTGGTGGTGGGTGGGTGGGGTAGATGTGATGGTGATGGTGGGTGGGTGGGGTACATGTGATGGTGGTGGTGGTGGGTGGGGTAGATGTGATGGTGGTGGTGGGTGGGTGGGGTAGATGTGATGGTGATGATGATGGATATGATGGCGATGATGATGAAATGAGAGGGAAGGAGAAAACTTGTGATGTCTAGTATAGCTAGATACACACAACACAGTATTGTTGTCGTACATCCAATTACATATGTAATCCACGAATCTTAAAAATATACTTATTTAAATTTTCAGTAAGCACATGCACTTGTAACACCAAATCGAATCACTATTCCAAAAGTTCCCAAAACAAACGACTCATTACGGTCAATGAAGTCGTGAAGTTAAAACTTCTCATGCCGAAATAATTCCATCGAAAGCCTATTAAACACCGAACCTCTTTGACCTGCTAAAGCGCACATCACAAGCTGGAGCGATTCACTACAACATGGTACATGGCGCGCCCACCTGTTTTCAAGCAGTCAATTAAATCGAGGCCTCGGGGGTGGATTAACTTCAGTCTATGCTACCTTAATAAGGTTTGTATGCTAATTCTAGATTTAGAGTACGTTATCCCTCAAGCTCTTAAGAATATTATTTAAGTGTATGGGCGCTGTGTGTCGTTGTGTTAAGTGTAGAAATCATGGTTTAACAAACTGGAGTGCCAGCTCCTCCACACTGTGCGTTTACACTGTACGTGTATGGAGTTCTGAAACGGAATCATCGAAGGTAAATTTGCACAGTACTGGTGTTTTTTGGATAAAGACAAAGTTGTAGTGCATGGTAGAGATAGTTTGTTTTTATATTGTAACAATTCTCTCGAGGCACATTCAAAATGTGCTGACCTTATTCCTTTCGTCAGTCCTTTTGAATTTCAGGTTTTAAAATAGAAATTGAGAAGGGAATATGTTTTTTCGAAATAATTCGTTTTTATCTAACCATGTGTTTTTCATACTACTGTAGCACTATTCCCGCAATATGACGTGAGGCCAAGAATAGGCTTCACATCATATACTAACGTGTATTCCTTGTGACCAGACACACTTAAACCACTGGACTACCAATGCTATAGAAATACAAGGCTTGGAAATGTTATGGATTGTGAATAAATTAAACATTTACTGTGTCCATGGTAGTTACTTAAATACGTGTTAGTTATTGTGCAAGCTTAACTAATCATTCATCTTGGGAATTATGATTGTTGGATGTTGTGAAGGTAAATTATGTACCTGTACTCAAGTTCCATTCCAGTTAAAGGCCGAATTATTGAAGAAATTATCATTGAAATTATTTCACAAATTACTCCGGAGAAGGTAGAGTTGCAGTGACGCCTGTGACCTGCGACATTTCTGAGTTTCCTCCCTCAATACCCTGACACGGCGCTGACATCTCATCTTCGGCCTACAGGTGCATTTATTTTCGAGACGTAAAAACAGACAAAGTTTCTTAAACGGTTATTTATGTCCGTGAACGGACACATCATGAATAAAGATTCAAATTAACACAACTTATATAAAATGAAGTAGAATTCAAATTTTGAATCTGAATTGGAGTCATAAGTCCTGTGTCATGGTAGCCTAGGGGTTAAAGTGTTCGCTCGTCAGACTATAGATCCCAACAGTGGGGACATTGCTGAAATAGAATTTAAAGCCACGTAAAACGATACTCACTAACTCTGTAGGAGCTGTAATTATCTTTGAAATAATGTTTTATATTTATCTTCATCATCATTTTTATCATTTATTATCATTATTATATTTTTGTGGTCGCCTTCGTCGTCGTCGTCATCATCATGATTCATTATTATTATTATTATTATTATTATTATTAGTGTCGTCATCATTATCACAATCTCTACTTTTGTGTGTGGCAGCGGTCAACCAGGGGCGGAGATGCCGATGCGATGGACGTCGACAGGGGAACGCTTCATCCAGGCGGACAGGAAGAACCGAGTGGAGAGGGCAAGACTCGACCTCCAGCTCAAGATCTATGAGCGAGAGAGGCTCCGAAACTGGGGCTTGCAAGAGCGGGAGAAGAAGTTCCTTTACGCCAACATAGAATCTGTGAGAAGAACCTCTGGTTCCAGCAACATGGGTGTGGCCCCTGCCGGCTCTAAGGACAACTCGTATGAGAAGTCCATGCACAGCCGTAGTGCCATCAGGCTGAGCGAGAAGAGGCTGATGGAGTGGAGGTTGTGTGAGAAGCAGCTGCAGAGGTTCCTAAAACAGAAGGCCGTGGCAGCAGACGACACACTGCTCGACTCCCGCCTCATGTCAAGTAGAAGCGCGTGGGACGAAGACGGGAAGAAACCTGTGTCCGCTAAAGAAAGACATGGTGGAAAGGTCGAGAAAGAAAGGGCTGAGGTTCAACAGAGAGTCAGCGCTTTCCTGCACAGCGGCATGCATGTTGTGGACGGAAACACGGGTCAAAAGGATGGAAAGTCCCAGGGCGAAGCGAAACAAGAAGTTAAAAGAGGTGGTAAGGATGGTAGACAGAGACATCATAGCGAGCACGTGATACGTCCTCATACCGCTTTCGACAAGACTACTCCTGCTGTGAAACAAACGCAGCGACCCATGTCGGCCTGTGTCGACAACACGTCCCGGAAATCCCAGTTCCTGATAACGAAGGGGGATGTGTATATGAATAGTGGGCTGCAGTTTACCAAAATTTCAGGATCAGGACCAGATACTCCGGCAGCTCAGGTGAATAACTTTGTCCACGACTTCAGTAGGCCCAACTCTCCTTTGTCATCAGACTCTGAACCGGACCAGGATGTGTTCCTTGACGACAGACTGTACACGGAGACACGGTACAACAGATCACCACAAGACACAGACGCCTTGTCCGAGACGTCTAGAAGCTCACTGTCCGACAAGTCACCAAAGAGACTCACAAAACATGTATCTATCCCCAGTATTCTCGACCAGTTGACAGAGGAGGAGTTCTCTCCCCCTTCCCAATCAACGTCTAGACAGGTTGTACCCCATAGTGCTAAATCTTCAAAAGGCAGCTTCTATCATAGACCTAGATCCAGTTATTCTACAAAGAGAAGGGAGAGCATTCAGACTCCTACAGTGTTAGAAATTAGTGATGAAGAGGACCAAGACGTCAGACCGGAAGTGACGTCATCAAGGAGTAACCGGAAACAGGACTTAGACCAAACGCACGTCTACGATGCGCACAAGGCCGAGACGGCAGTGAAGAGTGCTATGGTGTTTTCCAAAAGTTCTCGTAAGAAAGCCTTGGAAAACCTCATAAATCAAAATAGTCCTGACAAAAGGGAGGTTCTAAGACAGGAGAGACTTCGTAGCATGAAGTCTCGTTCTGCCATGTTGTCCTGCATAGCTAGTCGATTCAACATTATCTAGTGTGGCGTGTTCATGTGAAAAGATACTGTTACATCCAGGCACCAGCTTACAGTCGTTAAGTAGGCTACCAACAAGATGCACAACAAGATGCACAACAAGATGCACAACGTTTTGGTGTCCTGAAGCTACAACACAGAACTTTCTTCATTTTTTGACAATGCCCAACATTTCTATTGATGAAAGAAATGTTGGTTACGGCGCATAATGTTTCTAATTTCGACGATTAGTATGTTAAATGTCCTGAGCATTTATCATATGAGAACGTGATAATGACTGGTTAGCTGCTTGTTAAGATATTAACGACTACTTATTTAAAGAACTGCCAAAGAGTTTGTGTGACCGAGAATGTTGTGTTTTTTGTTTTCCAAAGAAATCAGGAACAACCAATTACATCCAAGCTACATATTCTTTGATTTGTCTTCTGTTTTAAAAAAGAACTTTATGTCATATGTTCCTCTTTCTACTGGCACGGCCGACGAAGCGAGTGTTGTGTGCCACTGTTATCACCACAGTGATCGGGTCTGGAACCAGAAGCTGTCACTGTTGGCATCGAACCTGTGTCATGGTATCGTACGATGACACATCGTATCAGTCTAGCCTCCCACCCAGGTACATGGTCGGTAGATTCAGTCGCCGTTGACAGTTGCCAGGCTTTGATGATGGTTAATTCAGACCACAGCTTATGCGATATCTACACCTGGTTTGTTTGTTGTTTAACGCCGCACTCTGGAAAATTCTTGCCATATGACGGCGGTCTGGAAATAATCGAGTCTGGACCAGACAATCAAGTGATTGACATCCTGAGCATCGATCCACGCAGTGGGGATACGATGACATGCTCCAACCAAGTCACCAAGCCTGACCACCCGATCCCGTTAGTCGCCTCTCACTACACCTAGTAACTGCTTTGTATACTTAAGAATGTATTGCTTATATTCTAAATCCAAACGCAAGCTAAAGTGAGGTGAAATTTCTCGTTCATGGTTATTGCACTTATATGACATGTGCATAGACGTGTATGTATTGATGTTTGTACTAGTCCTGACTAATGCCGGTTTTATAGTGCTAGGTCACTGAGATACCATGCCTCAGTTTAACATGGATACCCCACTCAGACACAATATACTGGGCCCGAGCCGACGTGTCCATGTTTTAGCCCTTTAATGCCGAACGCCAGGCAGGGTAACAATAAGTACCATCTTTGAACGTATTTTGGTATGACACCGCCAGGGGATCTAACCACCGACCTTCTGCTCTCCGGCCAGATGTGTTATCCACCAGACCGGGGAAGTGGTTCTAAACCTTTTATACAAACTTAATGTTTTGTTAACCCAGGTTTTGTCTGTAGGATGAGGATGGATGAGCCAAAACAAAAACAAAAACATCGCATTTCGGTTACCCCATTTATTCTAATCTGAAAGGAATTCGAAAGAGGTAAATGAGTCGAAGATGTTTTCCAATATCGATGCGAATTCGAAGCGCCCCTAAAATAACTTTTTAAATCGTTTTTCTGCCATAAACCGGTGACCCCTCGTACATACCATCGTTTGTTATAATCATAATCTAGTTATGGCCACTTCCAAACAAGAATGCATTCTCTTGTATCAAAGTTCATGCACCAAATACCAAAATGGACGCACAGGTAAATAAAAACAAACTTTTATTGTATTTTGAAAGTTTGTGAACAAGGGGAGAGAACTCTTTAGACCTTAAATTTTGCGTTCAGCTACTCTGCATATATGAACCATGGTTATACAGACAGCGGAATCTGTCCAAATCGGACTCTGTCAAATGAGGATTTTGGTGAAAGTCCTCTCAGTTCCTTAATAAATTAGCATTACTCAAATTGACCTACAACTCTCTAATTCGGACTTTTCACACTTATCGAGTCCGAATTGGACGGATTCCACTGTATTTTGAACTTTCTGCTTGATGGTTCAGTACATGTATATCTGAAACCATTTGATGCTCAAAAATAACCTTCTTGTGGTTTATGTCACCCTTAACATATATATTTATAGATGATTTGCTTCAAATAATTAAAGTTTAATTAGAATACAGATTTGGAAAGATGATAATAGACTCTTTAAGAGATGACGTCCACATAAAGAAGAAGGTCACCTTGACACAAAGAACCTGGCTGCAGTGTAGAGTGCTGATGTTAGTGATACGTGCTGTCTTAAGATGTTGATGACGCAGAGGTGTCATTCTAAATTTCGCCCTCTCCTTGTATTAAAGGGATAAAGGTGATTTAGGTGTTAATGTCAGCGGAATAACTCGATAGCTTGCTCAATACAACATTACATCGGAGCAGGAAAACAAGTGATTGATAGCATGAGCTTTGAATCACAATGCCGGGATACGACGATCACCCATCCTCTAACCCATTTAGAGTCGAAATGGCTTTTCAGGTGATCACCCATCCTCTAACCCATTTAGAGCCGACTTAGGTTTTTCAGGTGATCACCCATCCTCTAACCCATTTAGAGTCGACTTGTGTTTTCAGGTGATCACCCATCCTCTAACCCATTTAGAGTCGAAATGGCATTTCAGGTGATCACCTATCCTCTAACCCATTTAGAGTCGACTTGTGTTTTTAGGTGATCACCCATCCCCTAACCCATTTAGAGTCGACTTGGTTTTTCCAGTGATCACCCATTCACTTTGTACCCATTAAGAATCGACTTGGTTTTTCCAGTGATCACCCATCCCCTAACCCATTTAGAGTCGACTTGGTTTTTCCAGTGATCACCCATCCTTTAACCCATTTAGAGTCGACTTGGTTTTTCCAGTGATCACCCATCCCCTAACCCATTTAGAGTCACCTTGTGTTTTAAGGTGATCACCCATCCTCTAACCCATTTAGAGTCGACTTGGTTTTTCCAGTGATCACCCATCCTTTAACCCATTTAGAGTCAACTTGTGTTTTTAGGTGATCACCCATCCCCTAACCCATTTAGAGTCGACTTGGTTTTTCCAGTGATCACCCATTCACTTTGTACCCATCCTAAGTAGCCACTGCATAACGGATCAATGTCCTGACTGTATATAATTAAACACATGCTATTATAAATGATAAATGACTCATCCTGGCATTTATGTTGACCGCCTTTGTGTCATTCCCTACCCTTCCATGTAATTACTGCTGAAAGAAATCTGAGAAAAACACTTTTTATATCATTGGCATTTTCCATTCAATTTTGTGATTACGTAATCCTTTTTAAATTCTTGTTTCTATAGAAACTGATATTGAATTATTGCACGGTGGTCCTTTCTGCTGCCATCTGATATTCTCTCAGTGATCAGCTGTCGTAGGCAAGCAGTCTTTACCGTGTAATTCATCTCATCATGACGTCACCAGCCCTTCGTTACATGCGGCGGGAACATGTGCGAGACTGTCTCGTACATTGGCTTTCCACTGTGAATCCTCCTCCTGCAAATGTCGCACACGAGTTGAGTCAATTACTATATACAATAGCTACAACGGCCCTGCGCATTCACCCGATCATTCTGTATTCCATCCTCGGTGATCCAGTGTACTTTATTCCCATACTATGACGAGAAATGGTTGTCACAGGGGTATGAGTGTGTATGGTTTGACGCCGCGTTTAGCCATTTTCAAGCCATATCGAGGTGAGGACACCATAAATTGGCTCCACACATTGTACCCATGTGGGGAATCGAACCCGGGTCTTCAGTGTGATGCGAACGCTTTAACCACTAGGCTACCCGCCGCCGCACAGCAGCATGAAGATATAACAGGCTGGATATTTAGGATGGTTATATATCGCCCTTGACCCGTGAAGATCCGGGGTAGAATAGGTCTTCAGCAACACATGCATGCCGTAAAAGGCGATTATGCTTGTCGTAAAAGGCAACTTTAGGGATCGGATGGCCAGGCTCGCTGAATTGGTTGAAGCATGTCATGGTATCCCAATGATCGATGCTCATGATGTAAATCACGGGATTGTCTGGTCCAGACTCGATTATTTACAGACCGCCGTCATATAGCTGGAATATTGCTGAGTGCGGCGTTAAACAACAAACAAACAAATTATATCGTCCTTACCAGAAAGTGCAGTGAACGACTTTGGGCTATACAGTCCTCCCTGATTATAATGCCACCCAGGTTATAATGCAATGTTTGTCTCAGAACGGTTTCCTCATTGCAAAATTCCCTGGTTATAATGTCATCCTAGTTATAATGCCAATGTTCGCAGAACGAAAGTTCCAATTCCCTGGTTATAATGTCATCCTAGTTATAATGCCAATGTTCGCAGAACGAAAGTTCCAATTCCCTTGTTATAATGTCATCCTAGTTATAATGCCAATGTTCGCAGAACGAAAGTTCCAATTCCTTGGTTATAATGTCATCCTAGTTATAATGCCAATGTTCGCAGAACGAAAGTTCCAATTCCCTGGTTATAATGTCATCCTAGTTATAATGCCAATGTTCGCAGAACGAAAGTTCCAATTCCCTGGTTATAATGCCATCCTAGTTATAATGCCAATGTTCGCAGAACGAAAGTTCCAATTCCCTGGTTATAATGTCATCCTAGTTATAATGCCAATGTTCGCAGAACGAAAGTTCCAATTCCCTGGTTATAATGTCATCCTAGTTATAATGCCAATGTTCGCAGAACGAAAGTTCCAATTCCCTGGTTATAATGTCATCCTAGTTATAATGCCAATGTTCGCAGAACGAAAGTTCCAATTCCCTGGTTATAATGCCATTTTTAATAATATGTTTGACCATCAACAAACTGATTGATTCAGTTGTTTTCACATCCAATCCTCTTAAGATAACAAACCGATTGTTTGATGTAAATGATAATATCCTTTTCTATAAGCCTGAATAGATTGGCATTTCTCAATTTGATTGATGAGACTCAAGTTCTAGCATAAATCAATTATGTCTTGTTTTCAGCTCCCTAGTTATAATGCTATATCTTCCGCTGGACAAAAGGTGACATTATAACCAGCGATGATAGTATATCATTATGGTCAGTAGATAATCGAGTCTGGGCCGGAAAAGGGTGGTTGATAGTATAGTATGGGCAACCGTTCATGCCGTCAGGGTACTACCACACAGTAACCCGCTATCACACATTTTTCCACCCAATACACAATAGACAGCCCTTACAACAAGCATTGGTGGGTGGTAGGAATCCGTTTTCAACCCCCCACCCCCCGGCCCCCCACTCGTCGAATATTACACGTCATCAAATTAGTGAAACTGAGCCTGCATGTGTGGATGAATGATCCCTCTTCAGACGCGTTCAAGTTTGTGATATATTCCTATTGGCGTCCAGGCAAGCACTCCGAGAAGTGTCAGGGGAGTATTTACGGAAACTCAATAGAGCCATAACATTGTTCTTTTATCTTGAAACTTCAAGT